CCACCTGTTCCGTCGTTCTTCAGTGTTGCTGATTACTTTGCCCTCCTTGCTTTCCACTGGTCGTTCTGGTTTACGGTGGCTTCCAGCGAGCTTCTTTGTTGTTTCGTACGATTTTTTCATGCTCACCTGTCCCACGTTTCCCTCTCTTGCATCTTTTTGCGCCGTCATTGCTAGATCTTCCACATATTTCCGTTTGTCAGCTCTGATGGTCTTCTTCACTTACCTGTTTGATTCTGTGTATTCAGCTTGTGCCTTAACTTTCCCCGCTCTTATTCAGCTGATGTTGATTGTTACTTTTTTGTTCCTCCTTTCTTCAATATTTTCAAGAGTACCATCAGAGATCTGTAGTGGAACAATTCTTCGAAGAAAACGCGATTGGTGAAAAATAAGCATTTATTATTGTACTAGTTTTGTTTAACTGTACCAAAAACACCTTCCTTATGCGCATTGTTCTTTTCGCGTTGCTGCCATTTTTCATAACATGATGCTCTTTATGTAATGCCTACTTTCCCCTTCAATAAATATTCGAACATGGATTCATTTCTGATTTACGTGACGGGACAGTTTGGGACATTTAGTGGTTATCATGGTTATTCTGCGAATTGGTCACCACTAAAGATCCATTCCTTGTGATGGTACTTCCTGTGGCTCAGAACCTCTTTTATACCAATAAGCTGTGTTAGTCATTCGTTCATTGAAACAGAGAACTTGAATTTACAGTCAACACCAACAGAAGCTTTCTAATTCATACTGAATAACTAGAATTTCATTGCTAAGCACATCCTGCGTTGACAAACTCGTCTAACACGCTTTGCAGTAACTGAAATAATAATACACTGAAACCCAGTTATCAGCCTAACTAAACACATTTGCCAGTTGAGTTACTTCTGTAATACAGATGATATTTGTTCGGTCTCATCGAATTCCGTTCTTTCATCCCCCGTAACTTTGACTTAACTCAACAGTAGGGCACTTTTGGTACTGCAGGTAAAATAGATAAAAGAAGTACATAAGGTTCGATAACTGAATTCGCGAACTTTTATTTTGACCTTTTCCAGAGATACTGCTTCTATATCTGAATGCTTAGCATCTAATTCCAGTTGACTTATAGCTGCTGTTAATCGATACATGGTTGTTTACTGTGCAGATTGGTTTCCTGCTCTTTCTCAACAACCTGTAGCTGTCATTTAACAGTTTTTCAAGATCGAGATAACTGCTCAGTCAAACCAGTGGTTGATTAGAAACTGGAACTTTCTGTATCTTGGATGACTGGTCAGTGAGTGCTTACTTTTTAGTTGAGTTCTATGAAGGTCAGGGCAGGTTAACTAATTGCTGTCAACATTTGTAAGTTTTACTGACCTATTCTTTTTATCTCTAAATATAAATTCCTTTTATTAAGGTCGAGTCTGTTTTTCAAGCTCAAGGGACATACTAGCGGCCCTCTAACACAGCTCAGTATTCATTTCTTCTTTCTAGCTCGTATTTTATTTTTTATCCCGGACTCAACTAACCATGGTCATAAATTTCTTGATGTTCTTATATTGGATACTTATTAGTTGACTTTAACAATAAACTTAACTCTTTTGTTTTGTTTTTGTATGATCCCGAGGAATTGTCTGAAACATCCTAAACCGATTAACTCAACATTGCAGGTGGATTGGTTATTCATTGTCATTTGTTGACTAACTACTGAAAACCATTATTCCAATCAATCCCATCAGATTTTGTCCTCATCTGAAAATCTGATGTTTATTCACCCATTTTGGAAAACATTTTGTACCCGAGAAACCCTTTTATTCAAGTGCAAGAAGTGCAGCTAAGGAATTTTTGTATTTCTGATACTATTCGTTTGTTTATATTCTATATTAGAATCTAACAAATCAAGCAAAAATTTACATATTTTCACATAATATAGGTGACTCAAAATACTTCATGTACTTTACAAAAGAACGTAGTTCTATGTAGCCAATAAAATTTATTTTAAATATATAACTTAACAATCTTCACAACCCCGTAATGCGATTAGCCGTGCTCATTAGTTACCAGCTCCGTGAGGAATCTTCTCGAAGTTCTAGTGGGAAGTCGGGACCAGTGAAGTTCAACTTGTTCGGGTGTAGATAGTAACTACCGGAGACAGTGTATGAGGTTGCGCAAGGCCTTGAATTGATAATAGTTAGATATTAAAACCGTTAGATATCGGTTCAATGGTCCAGAAGTGAGGCGTTCGCGCACAAGACAGAGTACCGGGTTTGAACCCTGTGAGGTGCAGGACTCGTGGATTAGCACTGTTGATGAGTCCCATACGAGGACGAAACGGCCGTCAAGTTTTTACAGGTTTCTAATGGTGGTCTAACTTCGATTATTGATTTCAAATGTGTGAATTTAATTCGTTGAATCATTCTCTTTATCCAAAGTAAACATTGATAGCTGAACATGGTGAGGAGATCGTTTTACCAAACTTCAGTCGGCGATGACTATCGGCAGAAAGGCGCAAGTACGTGCATTCTCTCACTTATAATCTGACATCGACAAAGCCTACTGTAAGGGTAGTTAAATGATCTTTATATATTACTGAACATGATTTTCGTAATAATCCGTCGCTTCATCTATATGTGCTGCTTTCGCAATATGCTTATACTTACCGTATACTTGAGAAATAATATGGTGCAAATTCTTGATAGTATGATATCGTTGTTGAAGAATATCAATCTCATACAAAGCGATGAATTCGATATAAAGTCGTACCTAATACATTTGAGTTGCTTATGGAAAACATATTTGATGAACTCACAAGCACTAAAGACACACACATCTTAAGAAAAGAGTCTGACGCAATATATGGGGAAATCCGTGATAACATAATGAGAAAACTGTGAGGTATAGGTCTTTTTCAAAACTCAGAAGAGTGGTAGAAGTGCTCTCAGTATCTTCGAGAGTTGTACATAATGTAGTGGAAGAATAAGTGATGTATTTGCAGGAAAAAAATGCACCACCCGTATGCTTAATTACTGATCATGGAAGACAAGGCTGTGCTATCTGAGTTTTTCGTCACACATAATTTTACACTTATTCATTGTATTTAACGAGTACCGATCTATAAACAACTCCCATTCAACTGAGACGTTCGAATAACTTCATTGTATTACTTCGGTGCATTCCAGGACAATACTCTATCGATAGGTTTTTTCAAAGAGCTGTTGTAGTGAACGATATTGGTTTAATAGTAAAATTCATTATTATAACCAATTATACCAGTGATAGTTTTACTGAACATCTTTGTTTATAACATTCTTTACGCGAAAACTTTCCGTTTGTGTTGCTACCGTTTCGGCTGTCTCTGTAGCTTCGCTCATCTTTTCTGGCACGATTTCATCATTCTTTCGATAGTACGAAATCGCCAGCAAATATATTCTTTACTATGGAATAACCCTTCTTCTTGGTGACAGGCATGTAATTTATAGGTAGTGGTGATAGTAGTTAATCTAGATAGAGCCATCACACTGCTGACAAATTAAACAACCTGATCGTATTTCTACCTTTGCATATAGTCATAGTGAAATGGAGTGAATGAAATAATTGTGGTTGGAACCAGTAATTCTGACTATCTGAATTTAGAAAATCTCAAGCGAATCGCAAATCAAAACTACCTGGTGTACAACTCAATCGCTCTTGCGTCACTGGAATATTTAGAGATATCAGACATTTGAATAGAGAAATAAGAAGACATATTTTGTGAGATAGTACCATTTCGTGCTTTCTCGTCAGTCACATACAATCAGCATGTTATTTGTGTAAATACAGTTTCGAAGATAAGGTCAGAATTTCTTATTTAGCATGACATTCATTCACTAGACGAGAAAGCACGAAATGGTACTATCTCACAAAATATGTCTTCTTATTTCTCTATTCAAATTTATCAAAGGGAACCACTGTTTTGAACATCAGAGATTATTTCTTGTTGAGTTTAATTTCCATCTTAGACAGTCTTACAAACTTCGATACTTTAAGCATAAAGTGTGAATTAACCCAAAAAAGACACCAAACCGAACAGCCTCCTCCCATGTCTTGGGCTGATGATGAATGCCACATTCATACGACCCTGCCTAGTAAGTCGACAGTAATCGACTAGTAATCGACTTCCCTTGAATTTCTCGGGATTCAGTGACTGCTTTAAAATTGAAGTAGAGCTGAAGAATTTATTGGTTCGTAGTTTAACTCCAATGTTTACGAACAACTAAATATGCTATGATATAAACCTCTTCAATTTCCGTTTATCATATTTAGGCTAACCCCTTTATGAGACACTGGTAATAAAAAGCTAAACACAGGTTCCGTTTGATGAGATTATTTCAAGCAATAACTCATTTAAACAGACATGAGAATATAAGACTTACAAGTAAAGCGAAGCGAATTCGAGAAGGAGAATGAGCCAAATCAATGAGATGAGGAATGACTAAGTATTTATACTCAGACAAAATAGGACAAATATGCAATAAGCAAAGTATGAACACATATACCCAAGTAGAAAAATCAAGGCATAAGTGAATGACGAATGAATAATAGATAGGGCAGAAGAGGTTTACTAATTTGTCTGAACGCTAAGACAAGCTGTGTGTGCCCAACATACCAGTACACATAATATACAGATATAAGGTGGTTATATCGCAAGTTTGACCAGGATGAATTCAAAGACTGGTTTCATTTCTGAGTAAAAGTAGCTAATTCCAGGTTTCACAATAGTTTGAAATATACTTATCCAATTCTGTACAATGTCCATCCCAATTACGACATTATGGATATTAAGCAAGGCTAAACCAACTTTGCATATTCAGAGGCTACAGAACGTATATGGAATGAAGCCGACTGGAAGGGATGTCGGTTATTTTTCACAAAGTCTTTTCCGAAATCTATCGGCTCCTGGTTGTTTTAATGTATAAATATAGAGGTCGTTTATGTATTTGACGTCGCGAACTTTGACGTAGTTTCTTATCTTTCCGTAGATGTGTCCTCGATTAGATGAAGTTTCACGCGAACACTCTGAACTTAAACCTCTCCGTTCACATGTTAGCCTAATAACATGTGTTACACTATCAATTTGTTCGGCTGCATATATGTCCAAACTTGTAGATGAAATAACTACTGACTTCGAATATGAGCTGCCAGAAGACAATGGTTTAACAAAAGATAATGATCAGAAACAAAATCTACAACTCATTTCTGAACTAACAGCCGTTCTGGATCAACGCGGAGTACTTTATTCTTCTTTTGAACGCGAAGACATTGAGTTTTCAGTTAACTCAACAGGTAATGTGATGTATACATAAGTACTTACATCTTTTGCACAACAATTGATATTTTGGACACTCATTTAAAATTCTTTTCGACTTTTTGTGCATGAATTGTTTTCTTTAGATAAAAAAGCTTAGTGAATAATTACTCACATAAGCACATTATTAAATCAAGTCACCGAGTCAAATGCCACGTAAAACCTTACACATGTATACATCGGTGCAATTGTTTGTACCCTAGCAGCGTGGTGAGATCGAATCGGCAAGCATCTTAGTGGCAGTAGTTATGGTTATGTCCTGTGCGGATTATGTGAGGTTTAGTGAATTACAGTGAAGAATGCAAAAGTAAATCCTAATAGTCAATAAACATACTTAGAATTGGACGTATGATACTCGTACTGGTTCGTTTTCTGGAGCATGTTGAGTCTTCTATCAACCCTTTGCATCACCACTTCCACATATATTGGTAACTTATCAGAACTGCTTGCATATGAAACCCATCAAATATATTTTCATATATCTCATCTATTTCAAAGTAGTTTCATACAACTATTAATAAATTGCAATTTATTTCGTTCACTCATTTTTGAATTCCTAATTTTAAGACAATCTGTCTACACAATCCTAGGCTTAGTAATTTTCTGTGCCCTAGAATATATTTTGGGTATGGCGTTACAAGACATCCCACCAAATGCATTTCATTTAATGTGAATTAACTAGATATTGATTCGAATACCCGGTTTAGATTAGGACTACTAGCTGAATACTCTGACTGAACTGAACAAAACTAGATCTTGACCTTTCGACCATTGCTTGAAAGCTGAGTGCTTTACAGACTTAGTAATGATACACCTATGTGCTGCTTTATTGTGAATACTTTTCCGAATGGATTTCTTATTCCAACTCTATAGTTTCACTTGATTTTTCATAATTTAAGAAAAAAAATAATTATTACAAATTCTCCACCCTGTGGTTTTATTTTCTTGTATCAAGCTTTTTATTGTCCTTAGTGTTATGAGTTTGTTTTTACCTTTTTTAATCTTTATATAGTGTGATAACTTTAACAGGCAAATATTTGTATCAATAGTTAATTGCTTTTATCTTTCCTTTGGAATTAAATAATTATGATTACTGTCATTTCAACCACTACCAGTTGTAGTTGATATTCATTTAAAGTTATGAACGTACAAGCGAGCAGTTAAACCTATATGCACCACACAAATCATTTGTTTAGTCTGGGTTTCTCCCTAGATTCCCAAACCGAATCAGTTATTTTTCCCAAGGAAGCCTCTCCCCAACTCTTTGACCGAATCATTTAGTCCACAAATCAGTGTGGCTACGTTGCGAGGTGTGATCCCACGGTAGCCAGTGATTAAGTACAAGTTCGAATGTCATTTGCTCGCAGGACTGCGCAATCCATGTGCCCCATTATTTTGGAATAAAGACTTTTCCCTATGTGAATCTTCTGTTCCTACTAACTCAGTTTAAGCGTCGGACATCCTCTTTTCGTCGCCTCATTTTCACAAACAACAACCCTGCTGCTAGAAGGCAGTGAATAGCACTTCTATGGTGGTGACCATACACGAGTAACTTTATAAGAGCATTTCGAGAGGGAAAGGGGACTCTCCCTATCCTCGTACTTACCAGAACATTTGGATTGATGAAGTAAAAATGGAACCAACACACGGTATTCACCTTAGAACATGAAAAAAAGCAATCGACCCGACTTTTCGTTTTCGCTGTGATAAGCGTAAACTTTTCGGGTATCATAATTGTGACTCTGATAGTCCTTCGATATAGTTAAGTGTTTTTGTATTCGCTGGAGTTGAGCTATAATGTTTGTGGGTCATTGTAGCACATATAGTATCCAGAGTAGATATTCCCTCCTATAAGTTTATATAGCTTATGATATTTTATACCTTATCATTTTATTCACTTATCACTTACAGTAAACAATTTTATCTAAGGTCAAAAATTACATTCGAATAAATTAATCATGATGAAAGTCATAAAAGTTCTGGTTATACATTTGATGACGATAAAACCCATAATTAAATCACTTGAAAAGGAGTCAGAAATCCAAACTTCAATAGGTAAAGTTGAAAAGGATAGACATTTATGTGGATAAACCTTGTCTTTAAAATGCATTGTATGGTCAATTGTAAGATTGTAACTTTGTGTAAAAACCGGATCTGTAATCATGCGAAAACTCAGACCATTTTATGTCACAAAAAGCAAATAATTTTATGGTTAACTTAGCTTTGTTATCGCTATTCCATTCTAGTACTATCGGTGGTAATATATCTCCCTCACTTTATCTTCATTCTTAAGATTCTTCTTATCTTAACTGATTTATCCTAATTTACTGTGATCTCCAAATATCTTATATAGTTCATAGACAATCAGATCCTTCTTATATGATATGCAAATATACTGGCATTTGTCAATAGGGCTTATCTTATTGAAACCGAAATGATTGCTTTTTTATTTTCGACTCACTAGAGTGCACTCAATATTTTAGCTGCTAGATATTGATGTCACTCAGAAAACATACAGATATGCATCGGATTTACCATAAACGTTGATAGCTTATCAGAATAAAATTTAGAAATCACATAACCATTTATGATATTTAAACAGGGCGTTTTAGTAAAGTAATAATTATATTTCACTCAACAGTAGGTAGGTTTAGACTCGGATTCAGGTCTATGCGGTCGTTATGATCACTGATTAGAACTGACGCTCGTGTGTGGTAGGTTGTACGTTTTTTTATAAATAAATGACTGATTATATAGTGTAAAACTTCCAAAAGGATGTTTTAATTCCATATTTTTAAAAATGAGGAAGCTATCTTAGATTTTCAGCACTTTTAACCATCGTTTAACCATACCAGTTGGATTTAACTTGTATAGATCAATAGAAATGAATGATATCACTTCACTGGAAAGTAAAAAACTGATTAGAAATATTCCATTAAAATATTTTATCATTTTTGTTTCGTCTAGCTAAGAGTTTAAAGGATGTCCACTAGAAGACAAACTATCCTCGCACTTTTAACGACTTGTCGTGATCCAAGCCATGATTAAATACTTACCAACTTAATGTCCGAAGGACTAAGTTTATTTTGTCGTAGACTTTGTGACTCGGGTTTGTATCTAAAATAATTTTCGAACTGATTGTTTTATTGTAGGTTTCGTTACTTCGAGTGAACTATCAAGTGCCAAAGCTGAGCATTTAAAGTTTGCAAACACGAATTTCTCGAACTCCCCAGATGCACTTCTTTACAGAAAACTAGTTAATTCATTCCATCAATCTGTGAAAATGGATTATGTATCACCAAGTTTCAAACCGAATAGCATTGTTTTTGATAGTGAATCTGAATTTATTGAACATGTTGAAGATAAAAAGGATAGTGTATGGCTTTTAGCCGTAGCTTCTCCCAAGTTTCTTTCTTCACCTACCGCAAACGACCACACCAGCACAAGTTCACCCAGAATCAAACCTTCATCAGTTATTACTGAAGAAATTTGGTCTGTTTTAAGTTACCGTTATCAGTCCTTCGGATTTAAGACAGGTTTACTGAACTGTAAAAAACTACACAGGTATGCATTGATTATTAAAAATAATCATCATAATATAGGATACCGTTTATTCTTTTTATTAATAAATATCCTGTCATTCTGCTTTTTGGAAAACACAAAACTTGAGATCGTTTCATATTTGCACTTGTGGGTGATGTTTAAGCGTTATGCAGTTGTCCATAATGAATTTTATAGACTGCTTCAGTTCATTCAATTTAAAATGAAACTGAATACTGAAGACATTGATTGTATCACTGAGAGGAGAAAAATGACATTATATTTGAGCACTATTCATGATTGGATTTGTGTTATTGTACTTCTCTTTCTAACTTGGTTTAGCGTGCACAATTGGAACATTTGTTTCCAACTAGAGGACGTGGTTTTTAATAGTTGTTCATGAGGGATTTTCTCAGCTTTGATCATTTTGAATTGATAAAACAGTCTGCCATCAAGAAAAAATATAGCTTGCTAATACTGATAAAACATTGCCAACAAATCTCATAAGCTTTATATGAACAAAGTGATAGCTTTTCAAACTTTAATTCACTACAATTGCATTGGGTTGTAGTTCTCTTCAAAATATTTCATCAAGCAAATCAACTGACCGTTAGCGACCTTTAAAGTGGACGCTGTGCAATTGTAGTCCGATCACTATATCAATCCCATAACATGTAGGTAAGTTTATGTGACTCTGTAACAAAACTGTAATAGTAATAGTCGATCATGAACACCTTTCAAGTTTGAGCGAAATTGAACCACATAAAATAATGTACACAAAAACCTACCTGGAATTTTAACATAATATTAAATACATTGTTGGATCATTTGCTAGTTTCTTCATAAACTTCATCACTCAATGCATACATATCAAAGGCATAAATTGCAGAACAATTTCAAGAAATCTTTTCATTTCATCTAAACTGTCAGCTTGTTCAGTCTATAAGCATTTTTAAAATATTTTGAACATATTATAACACTGCTGGTTCTTTGATGTAACTAGCTTCTCAGTTCTCCGCTAAATCAATTACTATTGAGTTGAAAAAAATGTGAAAGATAAATAAAGACATACAACAAACAAATATTCGTTGAATTTTGAAACAAGCAATTGCTTTCTATATTGTGCTACATTATTATGTCATAAATTTATTTCTTTATTCTGTTAGTTATGGTACAAGCAGCATTTAATAAAAAAATTCGCTTTTTATTTCAGCCTCTGTATCGATCGTGGCTTCATTAATCCAGACCTTATTCTGGCTTTACCTAAAGGTGGTGAACGTATGAAAGATATAGTACAATTTCGACCTTTGCCTAAAGATCCAAAGTCAACATCTCTTATAGATCATGAATCAACTGACTACATTTTAGAAGGTATTCATGCATGGATTGTATCGGTGTTAGCAGAACGTGTAAAACCACTGGAAGATATAAACAGTATTTACTCAGCAAATTCAATAATATCAACTGATCGATTGATGAAAATGGACTATTTAAAACAATTATGGTCATTTTGGTTATTGAAACGACCTCAACCAATCCATGTTCTTTGGTTTCCGGAATTCTCTGTCAAGTCAAAATTAAGTCGTTCATATCAACAAACACCGTTAGTTTTAAGTGCACTTTCTGTAACCTATACAGGTCGAGTACGTTTTTGGATTGTCTTAAATGAAACAATCAAACAGAATCATTCAATAATTAATCATAACACTGATAATTGGTCAAATACAAATTCACCCATTAATACATTATTTGATTTGGTAGTCAATTTAAATTGTACCATTAATTCACATTTTCTTATATTAACACCTGAAGGTAAATGTTATGCATTTGGTTCAAATAAAAGGGAATATTTAAGCTATGATAATCTTGAAATACTATTACATTCTTTATATCCTTCAACAGATGATTTTCTTCGAATTGTGGTATTTTTAACAACAATTTTAATCTTGATTAATAGTGCTGTGGAAGCGGGTAAAATTTTACTCATTCTTATACATTCATTAAATGTAAATCGTGATTTTATGAAAAAACATCATGCTACTACTAATACTACTACTACTGGTACACGTCGGTCAGCATTAGCTAGAACTGTAATTAAACTAGCACGTCAAGGATGGACATCTCATATTCCTAATTTCAATATGAATCAACCCTATGAAATTATTAATAATCATAATCATAACAGACCAACTGATCATCATTATCGTTCAACTAATGAAAATCAATTCATTGACAATGACACATGGAATCGTTTATCATCCCAATCATCATTATTATCAACATCATCAACTAATTTACAATCGTTTATATTATCACATATTTTAGAATGGATAAAATTATTTTTTCTAGATTTATTTTCAGCTTATTTACTTCTTTTGTTAGCTATTTTACCATTATTAAATTTATTAAGTTTATCTTATTCTTTGCCTATTGTTAATTTAACTCTTTATTTATTAAGGTCATTTGTTTTATCCTCACCTATAATTAGTTTACGTCTTAATTTTGTATCGGGTCATTTAACTTGGTATCATTTAATTTCGGTTATGTTAACTTTTTGGCTATTTATTGTATTTTTAACAAGTTGTATATTGTCAAAATATGAACGATCTAATCATGATCAATTTAGTAACAATTCACATTCTCGTCGTCTTCATCGACTTGATCCGATTTTAGTTCGAGAACGTTTAAATCAAATACCACCAGATCAATTATGGGATGAATTATCTCGTTTAATTATTCAATCTGATATGGAGCTAAGATCTGGTTCAGCAGATTCTGCAACTTCAAGTACTATTGAATCGGATAAACGTTATCATCATTATCAAACTTGTAATAATCAATTGAAGGGTACAAATGAAAGTTTATCATCAAGTAATAATACTACTAAAGCACAAAATATTCATGAAGAAAATACAGAAATTGTAGAAGGTAATCGTTTATTACGTCGACTACGTAGACTATATAATATACTCAGTCAACAAACGGATCATTTAACATCAACTTCAATGAGTCCTATTGCTTCGTTTACATCAGCTGAAGTTTATCATCAAGGAAATAGAGAAAATGATGAATTGTTGAATCATAAAACTGCAGCACATATGTATACTTGGAATTGTTTAGGTCCACTTGGTAGTAATAATAATAATAATAATGGTAATGTTGTTAGACCTCATACCGGTGTAAATTCTAGTCAGTATCATTCTCAAACAAGAAAATCATTTAGTACAACAAAGAAACTTACATGTAATGTGGATAGTAATTATGAAGCTGAAGATGAATATGAGGATACTACTAGTGATGAACGCATTTATCCAAAGACTTCATCTTTTACCAGACGAAGGCACAAAACTCATCGTCGTCCAAATATAGTTAATAATCATTTTTCACATTTAATCACTACATCATCAAATTCAAGTTCTACATCAGATGTGGACACTATTGATCGTGAGACATACTTGAACAATGGTTTTTTGCATTCTCGTAATCTTTGTAGACGAAGTAATTTACTTTCAAGTAATTCTGTTTTATCTACTTCTTCCTCTTCATCATATATGTCGTCTAATGATATGAATTGTGTGAATCCTTCGAATGATTGGCCATCATGGGTTGTACCATGTAAAGAATGTGTTGTATGTTGGCAGAAATTTCGTTCAGGTGTACGACTAAGTGCACTTCCATGTGGACATGGTTTCCATGAACATTGTATTCGAAAGTGGCTAGATACTGGTGCATTTGAATGTCCTGTTTGTCGATGGCCAGCATATGCACCGCATTTACGTCAACAATGTCAAATGATTGAACAGTTAATTAGTGCCGTTCAAAATACTATCGATTTCGCTAAAAGTTCTAATAACAAAAACTGTAATAGTAATAAACATTATTCATATGTACACGGATAATTGTAGATAATTAATTATTCAGTTAACTTTTGTAGTAGAAAAAAAGTTTTTTTCTTCAACCAGTTTATATTCCAGTTTGTTATTTGTACAAATTTCTTCTTTTTAATAAAATTCAAATAATCTTTTTCGTAAAATACTCTTTATTCTTCTCATCGAATAAAAATGTGTATGTCTGTGCTCCGAGGTTGACTTTTGATAAATGTTTTTTTACTTAAGAAATATCTATATTGCGATCAAGTATATTATTTATATCTGTTGGTTGGACAGATAAAAAAAAGTTCGTTTGTACTTTGAGTTGAGTGTAAGCCTATTGTTTTCATTTCAACTCTAGCAGATAGTATCGTTCGCTGTCACATAGCTGTACAGTAGTGTATACAATATTAAATATTTTGGCTTAAAGAATGTTGATTGACTGAGTGGTCAGCAGATATAGAATAATTTTATCTAGAGTACAAGGTACCAAATGAAATTATTGATTTCCAAATCTGATATTAGCTTTTCTACATCATTAGATCTTTTGCTTATTCGATAAATATATTTATATTATCATGCTAGAGATGCTTGTCGTAGGATGTTGTGACTAGAGTCAGAAAACAAAAAGATTCATGACCTAAATCATATTCTCAATCATTTTGAGGTGTAGTGTTTCTTTTAGAAAGACAGTTTCCTTAGCTAGTCTGTCTTCTCATAGTAGAAGGAAGTTAGGAAAGGTCAGCTTTGGAAATAACACACTGCACCATCCCCCCAGGGGACCGCAGTGCAGACCGTGAGGTCTAAAAATGACTGAGCTAATTCTTCCATAACTGTTCAGAGGATAACTTAACGGCTATCTTGTCACACTCCTAAGTCGACTGGTCTACTATGTGGGCTACCAGGAAGTGACAGACTATGTTGTAAATAATTTCCTCGTTTAGAAGTAGTAATCAAGACTCTACCATCTTAAAAACATGTGGATATAAATTGTGGCGAATTGAATTAGTACTCATTTTATACTAAATCTTATATTATTATAGTTAATTGTTACTGCAGTGAATTGTTTGTTCAGTTTTACTATTTGTATATTTTTACTGATCCTGTGTTTACTTATTGCTCATAATGGTTAATTTTTTGATACATCTGTTCCAACTTTAATCAAAATCAATAAAATTAAATACTGTTCTCTTCTTTCTTGTTCGTTAACTACAAAAAGAAGTGTACACTTGTCTTAATAGATTACTAAATCATTTTATATATATATATATATTCATTTATATACATATCTGATTGTAGGGATTATTAGTTAAGGAATTTGTTACACAGTTCATACAAAATGAATACCAATAAACACGATGCTGAATGAAAGAAAAGTACACGGCATTAAGTTAAATAAACAGGAATCATACCATATTGTTTAATCTAATGAATATTGCACTGAATTAATACCATAATCATCTGATTGAAAGTTACATTTGATTGATTCTTCAGTAAATAATGGTACACTTCATTTCTTCTTCTGAATAAATTATATTTTGTAATTGAATATGCCGATCAGTTTTTTTTTTAGGGAAAATAAATCTGCTACACTTAAAATGATCTTAGTTATTATGGGCGCATAAAGTCAGGTGATAAATCCAGTGATTCATTCTAATAAGGATTTTAAGTTATCGATCGGATTTTCATATGATTTCACTTCATATGTCTTGTTTGCCTTATACATTCTATGTAATACAAAGAATTTCCAATTATGACCACTGATCTTAAGTATGAATGTTTGTTTTTTGGGGGAACAGATGTAAAAGTTACCTAAATGGTATAATATTCAATTCTTCTACTCGACACAAACAAAGTGATAACAGAGTATACAGATCTGTAAAATACTTAATCAGTTTTAAGGATCAAACATCCTAGTTCTAATTAGATGTACACATGTAATTGACGCTGCAATTGAAGTATAATCAGTTTAAATCTATCTACTGAAATTGAAATCTTTCTTTTGAACATAGTTCCTAACAGTCAATCCTATCAACATGTAATAGGTAGTAAGTAGTTCTAATCCAAGGTACAATGCTTTTTTACCTTCACAACCATTTAATATAATTTTATACTTAGAGATTCTAAACAATACTGACATAATAGATTAATTTTTGTTAGTGAAATTAAGCTCTAGTCACAAAAGCGATAGTATGCTCAAACCGTAATCCTTTTTTTAAAGTTGTAATAATTGACAATCCGTAGTTCGTTGCACTTTGATAAAATATGTTCTGATTGTTAAAATTTCTTACCAGTGAACTCATGAAATAATAGTCGTAGATTAGAATTGAACAGTTATTATTGTGGTTTACAGTCACAAGATATCTTCAGTTCGACCATGTGATTTTGTTAATAGTATATTTGTAGAATTTATTGATCGTGTAACCGAAAGTTATATGAATCTAAATTGAAAGCTCATGGGCGCTTGATCTCTCAGTATTTTTGGTTAAATCTTTGGCTTACAATATTCCCCAGAATGAACTGATAGTTAAAGACCACCTTTATACTTGAATGACACATGACATTTCCACATCACTGTATCATCCTGTCACAGTCTGCTTAGGATATTTATACCCTCTTGACAACTTTAAAGGGCTCTGTCGACCTTGTGTTATAAGGATGCTAGTCTAAACGAACACATGGAACATTTCTGTATATTGTTACTCAAATCAAGAGGGTTGTACTTAAGGCTCGAATTTCGATATGCTCCTATTTGCTGAGTTTGGACTTTATACTCCTCAAAAGATTATAGGCCTGAACGACGAAATTTCTGAAATGCTAAGATTGCTTACTATGTGACCAATAAGCACAAATAGCTTACTTGTACCAATTAAATGGTCTGCATGACTAGGCCTGTACTCTGTTCTCAATTTTCATATAGAAAAATGTTAACCTTTACTAAATTAGGTGATTGAACTTTACCGGTGGTGTGTTTTGCATTTTTATTAGGTGATTAAAGATCAGATGTGTGTTTGGAGCTTAAAAGTTTACTGTTCCTCTTCCATTTATTAGTCCAAATTTGTGATAATCATAAAATGATTAGTTTACAATAATGTTTACACCAGTTAGAATCAAACATGTTTTAACATGAAGACAGGGATACTAGAAAAGATGGAGCTAGAACTAATTTATGTACATTTTCTCTGTTTACGAAAGTTGTTTAGATATGATCTTCGATATTTATTACTTTGTTTTTAACGGATAAATTTACTTCATATCTGTGTGTAGTTTTTATGAATTACTTACTTACGCCTGTTACCCCCAGTGGAGCATAGGGCGCCGACCAGTTTTCTCCAACTAACTCTGTCCTGGGCTTCCCTTTCCAGTTCTGTCCAATTTTTGTTCATTCTTCTCATGTCATTCTCTATTTCTCGGCGTAATGTGTTCCTTGGCCTTCCTCTTTTCCTTTGACTTTTAGGGTTCCATGTGAAGGCTCGTCTTGTGACGCAGTGGGATGCTTTTCGTAGTGTGTATCCTATCCACTTCCACCGCTTCTTCTTGATTTCCTCAACCGCTACGATCTGGTTTGTTCTCTTCCACATTAAGTTGTTGCATAATATTACAGTATTCAATGCATCGGTGGCTTCATCTAATTAGGTGAGCACATTAACTGTAATAAAATGGCTAGTGATAAGGTGACAAGTAAAAAGACAATTTTACTACCTTAATAACTATTTCTAATAATCATACTTGCAGTTCAACTGTAAAATGTTAAGGTAACAGATCTTTAACAACTTATACTATTGGAACATGTATTCTTATTTTAGGAAAAGCCTGGACCTACTTAGTAGTAGTACGAGAATGATGGAAAGATATAATACAATTAGCAAAAAAAGTAGCTCACATAAATTAGTCAACCTGTAACTATCTACATATATGGTTGCCTGCTGCCTTTTGTAAGGAAATTTCAATCCATATGTTAGAAAACTAACTGATCTTGGAGTAACATACATTTTTACCGGTTAACCTATATCATTTCCTTTTTACACATTCCTATAATGTGAGTATTTCCAATCAGTAGTCATGATTTTCGTTTTTGTCATTTAAGTTACAATATGATCAGTTTGGTAAGTGGATGGTTACTACTACATAGTATTCTTAAGTTTAGTGATATAAAGGCAATAAACAGTAAGCTTTAAACTGTGTTTTCTGTCTAGTTAATAATTTTTATAGATTCATAACTGTAACCAACTCATTCCTTAATTCTTCAGGAATGATGGATCCTATTTCTAAAGATCTTTATTCAGTCAATGATGAGAATAATAACACTACACAAAATTCTAGTCAAGATTCAAGTATAACGGATTCTTTATCTACAACCCCGATTCAGTCTACTTCAAATGATGATAACCAATTGAATGTTGAACAACCGTTTAAAAAACCAAAATTAATGAATGTGGTAGGTTTGTTTTTTGTTTTTTTTAGTTTTCAAAATTTTCATTTTTCATATCTGATTCAACAATTTGCAACATATGCCATTAGTTTTATCTGTACTGCACTAATGTTCCGAATCAATGAACGTTCATTTTTCTACGTACCCAATTGTTAACCAATCGGTTACTGTTTTTAAACTATTCTCTAACTAATGAAGTTTGCAACATCTTGTCACTTATAATAACTTACACACAGTGTAATAAAAATAATCTAACTTCAAGATATTCTAGTCACATTGTTTGTCCGATAACTGTGTAAACCATAGATTAATTCTCTGCATCTGAAGAATTAAAGTAGCGATTTATCCTCCAACTATGTAAATGATAACTAATTTCAGTCAATGTTCAATCAATTTCAGATCTACATTATCAGCCAATCAACTACTACTACTACTGATCTTGTTCAATCATGTTTATTTTTTAATGATACGTTTTGTATCTGAAATGTTTTACCTTATCGAATGTAACATACATGATGATATCAAATAATTGTGATCGGTTGTCCATTAGGCTTTATTATTTTCTTAATATTGAATTCAATTCAAAAATCGTCAGTAAGTGTAGTAGTAGTGTAGTGAATGAGAACACCGGTGAGGGCAACCGAATTGTATTTAACGAAAATTACAGAGTTACTCAGTAAAATCAGAAAACCATATCGTAAATCGTTAATTTGCAAAATATCAGTTCATCATATCGAACTGGACTGTTCCTGTTGCAAAACATCAATCCATTGTCACTATTCATTCGTTTCATACAAATTCCATTGTTTTCTAACTCTTCCTCCTTTCTTGATCTTCCCTCATCTTCTGCTGCCAGACATTACGTTTACACTCACGTCATATACTACTTATAAGTAGCTCACACCACAGTAGTAGTAGTAGTAGTGAGCCAGTAGATTTAGTTTTTGTGAGTATTTATCACTAAATTAAATTCTATTACTTTTTTTCATAAATAATTAACTGATCAGTATTTGAAATTACATTTTTACAGTAATTACAGGATGGTGCAATAATAAGAGCTGTAAATTTATTTTGTGAGGTGTATCATATAAAGAAAGATACATGTTACTATTTTAATTGAGAGTGAGGTTTTAACGCTTGAATTCAGAAAGTCACAAGCATGTTACAGAAAATATTTGTTTGTTCTTTTTATAGAAGCTGTAACCCTTATTATTAATGTGAATGGTATGACCAAAATAATAGGCAGCTTACACATGACTAAGTTCTAGAACAGAACTAGCTCTCTTAAACTAAATGAATTTTACAGAAAACTTTCCTATCTTCTTCAAATAGTTAGGCAGTCTGATGTAGTATTAGTGGCTGGTGACTTTAATGTCCAAGTAAGTAGACTAAGCGAAAAACAGAGTCACCTAGGTAGATCTTATGGTGTCGCGAACCAAAGAATGGATAATGGCGACAGCCTATTTCTAGCAAGTACCTAACTTTAAGCATAAGAAAAAACACCTTTCGACTTGGCGACCCCAAAACCAACTCAGCGCTGGACTCAACTAGACCACCTCACTATCTGACAAAAGCTCGTGAAGAGCAAACTCGAGAAAACCAATCTGGTTTTCGACCTGGACGTGGTTGTATAGACCACATTTTCACACTACGCAGGTCCTGGAACACAGACACACATTTAGGCGTCCTACAATAGTTGTTTTCCTGGACCTAAAAGCCGCATTTGACTCAGTGGATCGTGCGATTCTGTGGCAGTGTCTGTCATTGAAAGGTGTACCAAAGAAGTACATTAACCTTATACAAGCTCTCTACTCGAACACCGCTGGTTGAGTGAAAGCTTATGGCGAACTGTCACCGGAATTCTTCACTTCAAGTGGTGTCCGTCAGGGATGTCCACTTTCTCCATTCTTGTTTAATTTCATCATAGACATGCTCCTAGACATAACATTATCCTCGTCTGAATTTTCAGGAGTAGACCTACTACCAGGTGGCTCGCTTATTGACTTAGAATATGCCGATGACATAGTCCTACTTGGTGAAGATACTGACAAAATGCAGAGTCTTCTGACTACCCTAAGCAACAATGCAAGCATGTTCGGGATGCGGTTTTCCCCCTCGAAATGCAAAATGTTGCTTCAAGACTGGGTTGCATTGGCACCTGAACTAGTGATAGGGAGTGAAGTAGTCGAACGTGTAGACCGCTTCACTTATCTGGGGAATTTCATCAGTGCTGATGGCCTGGTGACTGACGAAATCTCAGCACGAATGCAGAAGGCTCGACTGGCTTTTACCAACTTGTGTCATTTATGTAGTGGGCGAGCTATCCGTCTGTTGACCAAAGGACGAATCTACTACTCAGTGGTTCGTTCCGTCCTATTTTATCGGTGTGAAACATGGTTAGTTAGATTAGAGAATATTCGTAGGCTACTTGAATTCGACCATAGGTGTCTTCGAAGCATTGCTTGTTTATCCTGCGACAATGGGGTAAACAATGCTGTTGTTATGAAGTAGGGGATCTTTATCCGTTGAGGTGGTAGGAACATGTGCTACGAATGCTCAACCACTGACTGCCTCAACGAGCGATGTTTTGTGGTGTAGGAGTAAGTTGGATAAAAGGTAGGGGCGGCCAAACCAAAACACGAAAATCCATGAAGTCACTGACAACTGGACTGAGCCATGTTGGTAAGTGTAGACTACCTGGCTGGGGTCCGCGAGACAATAGTAATCGTAGGTTAGAGAGCTTGAATGATATGGTTGAAAATCACTTACAGTGACGCAGGCGCATCCATTTTTTATCCTCTCTTATGAGCTCCGGACCTTTTCTTGTCTCATTTTAAATTTATGTCACTGGATTCTACTTCTTGAATCATATTTTCGATCACTAATCTTTTTGATAACCGCCTATACTACAACTACTGCCTCTACTACTATGGGATTTGAATTGACATTCGTGTCTCTGTGCTAATATGATATGGCAACTTGAACTGGTGCACGTATATACAAAGTTTTACGTTGTAGCTGATTAACTGATTGACTGACGTGTTATTATATGTCATGATACTATTCTTTGTTACTTTCATATATGTTTTTCTATTTAATAAATACAACTTAAATAACCCCTTGCAATCTCTATTATCAAATAAAAAGTCAACTACTCTTTGATTTCAGCACATTTCAAATCTAAATAATCAATTATATTTTCTCTTTCATTCTGTCTGTATTATTTGAAAATATGGATTTTTTTTTTAAAGCATTATCCTATTGAATTTTATCTATCATTTAATAACCATAACCTAGCATAAACATTATTCATAAACAACTATTTAGCAGCATGACTTTTATAAGTTGTGAAATAACATTTTTTTTATTATGCTATTAAAATCATGTAGAAATATTAGTGAAAAGTCTCTCCACTTTTCTATTTTGCTTTGATATCTTCTCTTTCTCTTTCTCTCCCTCTCTCTCCCTCTCTATCTTAAGCACAATCTCGATTCATCACAAACGAAACAAGGTAAATCTAATGCTTATTAATGAAATATTATTTCAGTCATTAATAATAATAATAATAATAATAATTCGCCTGTTTGTTCATCATCAACGACGCACTTCACAGAAACTGGAACAAGTCAGCATGAAGTTGGCAAATCAACTGGCACTAGATTATTACTAGAAGATGATGGAACAATCGAAGAGGAGGATGAAGATGACGAAGATGTAGATGAAGATAATGATAATGATGACGACAATGATGATGTTGATGATGATGATGAAGACGATGAAGAGGATGATGATGAAGAAGAAGAAGATGACAGTGCTACTGTACTTGGTGAAGCAGATACTGAATCTGTGGTCAGTGATATTATATCATCTGCATTACAACAAGAAAAAGAATCAAGAAAAATAGAAGATCGTAAACTGCTAGCATTATTGGCACATTTTGATGAAGAACAATTAAATCGTTTTGAAACATTTCGACGAGCTACATTTGCTAAAGCTGTAGTAAGACGAGTAAGCTTAGACAATTGTATTTGTTAACCAGTTCTATCATTCATTCATTTGAATGAATGACCTATTGATTTTTGATTTTTTTTTTTCCATAACCAATTGAAATGTGTGTCAAACTGACGAGATCCTGATTTCCAACTGAGTTCATTAACTAAACGTTATTTCAACAAGCCAATTGAATAAATATCTCAAAACGTTTTTTTTTTTGTTTTTGGTAATTATATTATCATATGATAGAACAATTAGTAGATGTTGTGTTAAACAGTAAATTGATTGATATTCTTCTTTCATTAACTAAACAACAACAACAACCTGTGAAGAAATACTCATAAGTAACCTAGAATCTTTCGATAGTGAAAAAAAATATTGAAATGAATCAATTCGATAGCTTAAATAAAACCTGTTGTATAGGAGCTGCTGTTTTTTAAACAATACTCATTACAAGAAGTTTATTATAGTTACTTACTTACTACCTCTGTGGAGTTGTACGCCTTCCATAAGCATTCTCCAATCCATTCTGTCCCGGGCCTTCCTTTCGAGTTGTTCTCAATTATTGTTAATTCTTCTGATGTTTGCCTCCAATTGCCGCCTCAATGTGTTCTTTGGTCTGTCTTTTCACCTTTCGGTCTTGCTGATTTAAAGTTAAGGCTTTCCCATTGACGTAGTTGAATGATTTCTGCAATGTATATCCTATCTACCTCTAGCATTTTTTCTTAATTTATTGTTCATGTGGAATCTGGTTTCTTCTGTCCCACAGTAGATGGTTACTGATGATTACCGGCCAACGGATCCAGAGTATCCTGCGTAGATAACTGTTAATAAATACCTGAATCTTGTAGATGTAGGCGTTCGTAGCTTTTTAAGTTCCCGCTATATACAATATAACCATTTTGACGTTCGCATTCAAAAATCTGACTGGTTATCAGTTGTTTTGAGTTCCAGATATTCTTCAACTGTAGTAATGTTGCTCCAGCTCTTCTATTCCGTACATTCATATTTGCGTCAAATACACTTTGTTTATCCAATGATACTGCTCTGATATGTAAACAGTAAACAGTCATTTCCTACTGAATCGCTAAGTTTTCCGTTCTCACTGTTGATGCATACATTATATAACTACTTCCTTTATTCAGTAGTATACTAAGTATTCAAAAAAATATCACATTCATTGGTGTTTTTTTAGATTTGTCAGCTCGATAAAAACATATGTTGCTGTTTCATTTCGAATGAATTACGAAATGCAACTGTCTGAATGAGATTTTAACGCTCATTAATGTATACAATATTACAATACACAGGAATATTAACGTCAGTTTCAATCGAACAGTAGTGAGTGAACAGGAACCTCTTCGTTGAAATCCTTCTCAAACTTCCTAATTATCGTAATATTTGTTCGCATAACTGTCAACAGTCAACTACATCACATTATATGCTTAGATACATATTTTTGAAACTTCCCTTTCTTATTTAGTCATTTTCTCTTTCCAACAATATTCACATTTGCATGATAGAGATCATAACAACATTCATTATTGCAGTTAAATCCAATAAGCATTGACTAGTTAAGTGTGTTTCTCTTAAATAGTTTTCTGGCACTGACTCATATCGATCCTGTTTCAATCAGACTGACTTACCAAACACGGTATTTTTTTCAATCATGAATAATTGTTGATTTATGATTTACACATTGAAAATGTTACTTTGTTTTAATTTATCATAGAACTAAGAAAAAAAAATGCGATTTTTATATATTCAATAAATCTAGTGTGAATTTCATGTACTTTTTTCTCAACAAACAAAAGACAAACTATGAAAATGTGCTATGATTATGATTGTTATTGTTAGCAGTAGTAATATTATGATTCGAATATAGAAATCAATAATTATTTTATTTGTTATCCGTTGATAGGAGTCTATTTACAATAGTATGAATTTCTTATATTTTGAGTATGAGTTTGATGTGCTTGCCAATTGATATGCTTGAATGCTATTACGAATTCACCTTACAAGGTAATAAACGGAACGAAAGCAATGTGATTTAGTGACACGATAGGTTATTTTAATCCGTTAATCCCCGACATGTCCTGATCCGGCTAACTAGACCAAGAATTCTTGATAAGGAGTAGAGAATGTATTGAACAAGCACCTAGAATATTCCAGGTTCACAATCACACAAATCAAGCTTATTTATATAATGATAGAGACGCCCTTGTGATAGCCACAAAATAGTTTACTGGAAAAATCTGTCAAACAATGCCAGTCAAGGATTTCCGAGTGGGAAATGTAAACCGTAGGTGAACTAAGCGTCTCTTGGCGCGAAAACATAATTCAGAATTTCAGAAATAAATGACAAAATTTGGACCTATTCAAGTGAGTTCCAGGGATCTAACGTCACCAACGTAGTTGACACTAGCATTCATGATACATGTTTTCATCTCAATTTGAAGTGACGGCACATATATCGTAGTATTGATTTGCATATTGTGACTCGAACTCAGTATCTATCACTTCACACATAGATTACTTAATTAGCTATTTAGTTAAGATATCTGATAAATATCAACGTGTCCAATCAATTTGACATTATTCATTGGATGAGTTCTTACCTTGATGTCACTCAGTTAGCGAAAAATTGGAACTTGTTACGTTCGTATATCAACTCAAGTTGTCATACGACATTAGCACAGAGAGATGCAATTGTCCATTATTTTAGTCTAAATATCGTAAATTGGAAGAATATAGTTTTGCGCATAATTCATTTAGTTAGAATCTAGTAAAATACAAGGAGAAGAGTATTAAACCAACTTGTCAAAAACTGATCAGTACATTCATATGTGTATTTCAATGAAACATAATTTATTCTACATTAAACTTAATTAGCATATTATTTTAAATGATTAATTTCAGGAGATTATTTATTTTCAAGTTATGTAGTATATCACAAATTTAGTGAAGCCAGACATATCAATATCATGTACAACCACATTAACGATAGTGTGATTTAGCTGCAAAACATCATCGTACTATCATCTAATCAACTTTGAATTCTGATATAAACTGTGTTGTGCATGGTTGATTAGTTGTACAATCGGTGTACTTGTATTCCCGGGGATTGTAAGTTCTATCAATATAGTCGGTTTCGCTCGTATCAAGATCATGTGAAAATCACGTGACAATTCGAAGCATTGATCGTGTATCATGGGACAACCTAGTAAGCAATGCTGTTGTTAGGAAACGGGTGCTAGGTAAGGATGGAAGGTCAATAGATGAAGTATTTAAACTTTATCAGTTGATGTGGTTGGAACCTGTGTTACGTATGCCTAACCACCGACTGCCTCGACGAGTAGGTTGGAAGAAACCTAGGGACGGCCAAACCAAAACATGGCACAAATCCATGAAGTCACAAACAAGTTGACTGAGTCATGTTGGTAGGTGTCGACTACCTGGCTGGGGTCCGCGAGATGATAATAATCGATGGTTAGATACCCTGAGTGACATGGCTTAAAACCTTTTGCTGGTGCATCCATTCTTTGTGTCCTCTCAAATTCTAATCTTCAGAATTCCTCATCATCTCTATCTTTCTCTTTCTAAATTTATCTCATTGAATAATACTTCTCGAATCATATCTTCGAACCCTAATCTTCTCCATTACTGCTAATACTTCTGCTATCGCTACCACTATTGGATTTGAACGGACAGTTGCGTCACTGTGCTAATGTGGTGTGGGAACTTGAACTAATGTACGTACGTACGAAGTTCTACGTTGCTGTTGATTGATTGATTGATTGGCAATCTAAAGATATTATGCTCATCATATGATCTGAAGGTCATACGTTTAAAACCTGTGTGAAGTTATCAGTGAACATTGTCAAACGATTTCAAATAGTATTTAAAACATCTATTCTGTGTATCTTGATGTGTAATTTATGCAACATGATTAACGTATCCTGTAAACAGATATGGTATATAAACTTTTGTAAAATGAAAAAAATTCAACAATGTACTTTGTTTGCGTTTCTTGTTTGTTTTTTTTCTTACAGCTAATACAATCTGTAGCTCCATGTTCGATTTCACAAAATGTAGTCATTGCTATGGCTGGTTTAACGAAAGTTTTTATCGGAGAATTAGTTGAAGAAGGTAAGTGAAACTTGCTTTTTTTTTATTCAAATATTCCTATGTTTACAATTTTGTTTATTGGTATAAAATTCTCATTGATATCATTGTAAGGATCCGTTTTTTTTCATCTTCTATCAACATGTAACAGATCATGTTTGAATGATGTCAAGTAGCTCGAATAGCTTTAATTTATCTAACCTGAGGATAATTTGTTTTTCATAGAAATCCAATAGAAACTTATACAGGTTTCTTCATTTCATATGTTTAACTAATTAGTCGTTTTATTTAGTTTTTAAGAGTTTATGAAAATATTTTATGATAAAGAAGTATCATAAATTATCTCTAAATCCAGAAAATCTATTTAAAACAATTTTTAAATGCTACAGTATGTTTCCAAATTAACGTTGTAGGGCTGACTACTTTGGTGGCCCGCAAACCAATATTTATTTATGAATATTTAAATATGTTATGCAATAAATCTCCTCATCGATTTCCGTATACTATACTGAAGCGATGTCGGTAATTAGAAGCCGAATACGGATTCTGTTGGATCAGTTCTTTTTTTTCAGACAATTGTTCATGTACACATGAATACGAAATGCATGCATACAAGCAAAGTTGAGCGAAGTGAAATGAATTGAAGTGGAGAAGGCCAGAGAGTCAACTTCATTAAATTATGCATGACTAAGAAGAATTTATAGTCAGAAGACAAAAATGAGCCAGACATGTAATGGCCGAGGTAGGCGTGTACACACACAAAAATAAAAGCAACGCAGATATGAACGATTGACTGACAAGATCAAAAGACAAGTAGGGCTGATTTATTCGTCCAAAAACTAGGATGAGCTCTGTGACAGACAGACAGATAAAACGCAGAACTTCGTACGTAAGTGAATCAGTTCAGGTTGCCATACCATATCAACACAGAGACGCAACTGTCAGTTCGAATCCAAGAATGATAGAGATAGTAGAAGTATTAGAGAGTAGTGGAGAAGATTAGGGAGCGAAGATATGAGCTCTTTGAGCTAGAACATATCAGCACTCACTACAACATTTTCTTATTCAGCATTACTGTATCATTAAAAAAAGGATAGGGAGAAGTAAAATTTTCAGATAATCTCAATAATTCCTTTAGAATATCACTGCCATAACATAAGTTTATGTACGTCACTTTTATTCTCCATACTTCCTGCCTTTTGTTTTTCTGTCCAAATGTAGGAGGTTTCTATATAAGACTAGGAAGTGATAGAAAGTGAATGTCAAGCGTTCAAAATACTAAACATTATTGGTAATCGGAAAATACCTATGAATAACATGGTATATGTCTTCTGTTATTTGAACTGCTCCTTCGTTTCACTATGATAGTAACAATTGTTCAGTCACATCTTTCGTTTGTATATAATCTGTCTTAAATATCATAAGTGTTGCTTGTGTTTAAGCATAGACTAATCTGGTAAACGAGCTTTGAAAAATAAAATGAATCACAAATCCTGACTTTCATAACTAATAACTACTCCAAAGAAATTCTTTGTTCGTAATTACACTTGATTGTTTGTTATCGCTTTTTTACCAAAAGAGAATTTAGTCAGTTGGAAAAGATAAGTTACTTAACAGGCTATTTTTGAACTCCTTAGAAGTATGTGTTCATGACCAACTTAACGAACTAATTACAAGTTTAATAATTCCGAAATTATTTTCATTATTGAAATGATAACAAAAATTTTATCGCATAACTATAGATCGGTTTGTAAACATGTTCCATTCACTTAAAAAGTGTTATATTCAGGGCTTTCATTATTTTTTCTGGACAAAATCAACTGTGCCCAATTCAAATACTTTTTACGTACTTACTTACGCCTGTTACCCCCAAAGGAGCATAGGCCACCCACCAGTTTTCTCCAACTAACTCTGTTCTGGGCCTCCGTTTCTAGTTCTTTCCAGTTTTTGTTCATTCTTCTCATATCTTTCTCTATTTCTCGCATAACTAGATACATTTGTGAACATGTTCCATCCACTTAAAAAGTTTTAAATTCAAGGCTTTCATTATTTATTCTCGATTAAATCAACTGTGCTCAATTCAAATATAAATCCATCTTTTAGGCATTAATGCATAAATTTTAAAGATACCCAAGACTGGTCCTCATCTCCATTCCAGAAATATACTCCCCGACAACAGAAAACAACAGTCCAGATCCAAATAAACCGTCGTATGTTGCTTCAATTTCTTCAGAGGGAGGTGTTAGGATATTCATCCAATATCCTAAGAGAATTATTAGTCAATTCCTGTTGGTTAATTTCTACTGGTCAATTTTATGATCGTCCTAGATATCAGTGTCACGTGCTCCAATGTTGTTTCTTATTGGTCGCCTTAACTGCCAATGTCACAGACTTCGATGATGTTTCCTATTCAAACTAAATGTATAAATACGCATTATCTTTAACATTCTAGCACCAAGACCCGGTCCCGGATCCCTAGTCCGGGATCCTGATTCTCTTCTGGACTCGGACCTCGTACTTTCTGGATGCTTGTAGAATACAGGTTCTACTTCATATCAGGTCTTCTTCTTTTATTCAATTGGGGTTGGGATAATCGGATTGAGTAGCATGTCGTGTCATCAGATCCTCGATCCTCGCTCTTGTTTTCCGACTCAGGTAAACTCGTAATAGTTCAAGTATATCAAGTTGACGTGTTTACGTGCAGGCGTAACATATTCATATTCGAACGAATTTTTGTGTTCGGCTAAAATTCCGGCCATCTCTGATTGGTTAATCTGATTCGTATCATCTGATGGATTGTTTATGTATCAACGTGTTTATCAACTACAAATTGACTTAAGTACAACTAGTTTTCTAGAATTTTTTTATAGTATTCTCACATTTCCTTGAGTGAACTTTGTGTACATAGTTGTTGTCAAATCCATTTTTTGAAGGCTTTGTTTGTAAAAATCCCTCCATGTATGCATTTGTAATTTGTCCTTAGTGATTCCTTCAGTTGCACATTTTGTTAGTCTGTTCGATTCCAGTTTGAGATGGTAATATTTGTATTTTATTATAGTTTCTATTTCTTTTGCCTTTACTGAGTTTCTATGTTTCTTTCTGAACTGCATTTATGTTGTTTAAGCTGATACTTAGTCATGGCGACAGCCATATTGATTTGTTCCTCTTTTGATTGTGTTGCTTGCATGGACTGGAATTGTGCATTTCGATTGTGCACTCTTCCAGAATAGGAAACACTCTGTGCTATAAAGCAACCAAATATTATCTGTCGAACGAATCTTATCTATCCACGAGGGATAGAATATCATTCATTTGAATAATTGAACAATTGTTAGTGGAATAACTGAGTGGTAATATTTGTTTAAGTAATAATGTATATTTATATTTATAATGAATATTAGAACCATTATTTACCCAGTTCACTTGTTTTGGATTTAAACTGGATCAAGACGCGCACCTAAACTACCTGGACAGTCATTCCTCAATCCAAACCTCAGTTTGAATCCTACAATTGTCTACATGCCTATTTCACCGTCATGTCAACAATATGTATTATATATATCTAGATTGTTGACTAATCGTCACTACAATTACAATATTTGTATACTAAAAGTAGTTTTTTTTTTAATACAAAACCATTTCTGACACTTATTCTCAAACAGTGTGAATAGTATATTAAATCTCCAATGTCTCATCAACTTCCCAATTGATCTTTCTTTCAAAATTGTCTGAAATGTCAAACTTCCCTCTAACTATTGATTAGTGTTGTATGGTTTTTTTTCTTCTGTTTTAAAATAGATTTTAATTTGTTCTTTTTTTTCATTTCTATTGCATAGCATTAAATTACAAAGAACAATTAGGTGAAAGTGGACCATTAAAACCAAAACACATTAGAGAAGCTTATCGTAAATTATCAGATGAACGAAGATGTTGTACAGAGACACCGGAAAATCCTCTTTTATAATATGTGTATATATATATGTATGATATTTGAAGATGATTTTGTATGAATCAATGTATTAATAATTTATTTTAACTTCTCTAAATACAAAAAAAAAATACATTTTGTAAAATAATAAAAGATCTTTGAATAGTGATTAGTTACATTCAGGGTTCACTTTAGTGATCGTTAGTTTACTTGGAGTTAGGTGAATTCACCACACTTGTTGTTGTCTGGATATACTTGAATTCCAATTTCCGATCTTTGCACAAAAGTAATTGACATTTGCATTTCGCTGTGCTAATGTCGTATGACAGACAACTTGAATTGATATACGTACGTAACAAGTTCCACGTTATTGCTAACTAACTGACTGACTGATATTAAAGTCAGAACTCATCCGATGAATGATGTCGAATTGATTGGACACGTTAATGGTTATCAGATATGTTAACGAAATAGCTGAGTAGATAATCAATCTATGTATGAAGTGATAGATATTGAGTTTGAGTCACAATATGCAACACTACGATATATGTACCGTCAGTTCAAATTGAGGTAAAAACATGTAGCATGAATGCTAGTGTCAACTATGTTGGGGACGTTAGATCCCCACTTGGATCCTCACTTGAATAGGTCCTAATTTTGTGATCTATTTCTGAAATTCTGAAATATGTTTTCACGCCAAGAGACGCTTAGTTGACCTACGGTTTACACTTACCACTCGGAAATCCTTGACTGGCATTGTTTAACGGATCTTTTTAGTACATTATTTTGTGGCTCTCCCAAGGGCGTTGATATCGTTGTATAAATAAGCTTGATTTGTGTGCTTGTGAACCTGGAATTTTATAGGTGCTTGTTGAATACATTCTCTACTCCTTATCAAGAATTCTTGGTCTAGTTAGCCGGATCAGGACATGTCGGGGATTAACGGATTAAAATAACCTATCGTGTCACTAAATCACATTGCTTTCGTTCCGTTTATTACCTTGTAAGGTGAACTTGTAATAGCATTCAAGCATATCAATTGGCAAGCACATCAAACTCATACCCAAAATATAAGAAATTCATACTATTGTAAATAGACTCCTATCAACGGATGACAAATGAAATAATTATTGATTTCTCTGTTAGAATGATAACACAGCTGCTACTACTACTACTAGCACTAACAATAACAATCATAATCATAGCACATTATCATAGTTTGTCTTTTGTTTGTTGGAAAAAAAAGTACATGAAATTCACACTAGATTTATTGAATATAAAAATCGCATTTTTTTTCTTAGTTCTATGATAAATTAAAACAAAGTAACATTTTCAATGTATAAATCTGAAATCAAAAAACAATAATTCATGATTGAAAAAAATACCGTGTTTGGTAAGTCAGTCTGAATAAAATAGGATCGATATGAGTTAGTGCCAAAAAACTATGCAAGAGAAACACACTTTACTAGTCAATGCTTATTGGATTTAACGGCAATAATGAATGATGTTATGATCTCTATCATGCAAATGTGAATATTGTCGGAAAGAGAAAATGACTAAACAAGAAAGGGAAGTTTCAAAAATATGTATCTAAGCATATATAATGTGATGTAGTTGACTGTTGACAGTTATGCGAACAAATATTACGATAATTAGGAAGGTTTAGAAGGATTTCAACGAAGAGGTTCCTGTTCACTACTGTTCAATTGAAACTGATGTTAATATTCCTGCGTATTGTAATACTGTATACACTAATGAACGGTAAAATCTTATTCAGATAGTTGTATTTCACAATTCATTCGAAATGAAACAGCAACGTATGTTTTTATGAGACTGACAAGTGTTAGAGAAAACGAACGGATGTAATATTTTTTGAATACTTAGTATACTACTGAATAATGGAAGTAGTTATAAAATGGATGCATCAACAGTGAGGATGGAAAACTGGCGATTCAGATTGAAATAAGTGAGAAATGACTGTTTACTGTGTTTTAATGATGAAATTTATTTAACCATAAAACATTGTAAACCTGGGTTTCAACATTCTCTCTAAACTATTTAATTGTAAAGTGAGTGACATTGAATTCAACTGTTCTCTTTCTGATTGTTTCCGGAGAGTTGGTGTCGTTCTGCGGCCACGAAGAAGAGACTTGCTGTATACAGGAAGTTGCACTGCTGCTGGACAACGAAGCACTAAAAGGGCATATAGGATGGGAATCTCGTGAACCTAGGATAGAAAAATCATCGTAGAATGCGAAGGAAGAGTGGATTATGATGAATGCCATCTAGTGCTGTGCACCCATCAATGATAAAAAGGAAGACGACAAAGACAGGTTCTTTTGAACTCTGCAGTGAATCACAGAGAAATGCTCATGAAAGGATTTGACCATTACGATGAGCGACCTTAATACCGATTCGGAAATAGACAACAACGGATATGAAGACTTTATTGTATAACATGAACTTGGAATAAGGAAAGAAATTGGTGTGAGGTTTAAAAGTCTATGCACATTCCAGAAAATGATTATAGCCGGTTCACAGTCTTCCATATACTATTTAACGAATCGTGATACATTTAAGCCGGTATAAAAACAGCAGTAATGTAGAGCTACTTGTATGAAATAAGGTTCTATTCAGCCAAAATATATTTCAAACTAAGATTCTTATAATATATAAATGAAATCAGTCGAATGGCTCTGTGAAATTATAAATGATCAACCATATATTCTCATAAATAAATGATGGAAAATATTCAGTGACCTAATTTACCCAAACTATTATCTGAGAGCCTTATCAATACAACCTCCAATAATTTGGATATTTCTATTGATACTACTGATTTTTTCATAAGTATGACAAGCTTGACAATTATCAAAGTGATTATGAGCTGGTAAATTATGATCAATATGATTTTCCGTGCTATTTTCCTAAACTTCCTTCTAATGTACTTCAAAATACCATTATTGTTTAATCATTAATTTTTATTAGTTCTTTCAATCCACTATCATCGGTTAGACCACTGCCCTTAACCTGGAAGAACTGAATAACTGTTTTATAAGTGCAATAAATAGGCAGCTGTTGCTCTGTGGCTTTTGAAGACCCATTCATCCGTTCTACTTTAAGGATGTGAATCATGATCATTATCAATACAGGATATTCATAGATTAATAGTATCCGACCATAGGTTTCCTAGAAGCTTAGCTCGTATATCCTGGGACCATCAAGTGAGCAATGCTGGGGTTAGGAAAAGGGTACTCTTTGAGAGTGGCAAATCAATAGATGAAGTAGTGAATCTCCATCAACTAAGGTCGTTGGTAAATGTTTTTGCGCATGATTAATCACCAGTTACCTCGACGAGCGATGTTTGACGATGTAAGGGTAGGCTGGAAGAAGACTAGGCATGGTCAAACCAAAACATAGCACAAATCAATAAAGTCACTGACAGCTGCTAGTAGGCGTAGATTACCTAGTTTATAGCGGCGAGGAAATCGTAACTGGTGGTTTAAGACTTTGAATGACATCAATCAAAATCTTCTGTAATGGTTTAAGTGCAACTATTCATTGTATTCTCTGAATTCTTCCTCAGCATTCTTTTTCACTATTCTTTTTAAAAAAGTTTACTTTACTGGGTCATACTTATTGAATTATATCTTTGATCCTTGATCTTTCCTATTACCACTATCACTGCTGCAACTTCTACTAAAATGGGATTTGAATTAGCAGTTCCATCTCTGTGATAATATGATATGGCATTTTGAACTGATGTGCCTACGTACCAAGCTCTATGCTGCAGCTGACTGATTGATTTCAATAAAAACACTGTCTTCAAATTAATTATCCATTACAAATGTTCCCATATTGAACTGAATGTGTATCAATAGTTGGTTGTTTGGTAAAACATGTATATATTTAAGACTGTATATCTTTGAAAATGAATTCATCGCAAAGAGAACACTTTGCTGAACTAATGTTTTATTCAAGCCCAAAGAAAACAAGTTATGTAAGGTTAATTAGGATTTTTACAAGATTTTAGTAAGTGTTGAATTGAATGTTGGAAACATTGTCCAAACTGTAGTATCACTTAAAAACATGCTAATTCTTCAGACAGTATGCACACTTTGTTAGCATTTTAAAATCCAGTTTCCACTTTTTTAAGCAATTAGAAAAGTGTACCTCAGCTACTTCAGAGCAAATTATATTTTTTTTATGCATTTCTACTCCATCAAACTGTCTAAACAATTGTAGTGTATATGTACTTTTATGTCGAGCCCACAAGGCTCGTCTCAACCTTTGAACAAATTATTTAATCCACTATTTTCAAGTTATTATTGATTCACCTTTTGACCTTGTCAGTCATTCGCTTAAACACATTCGCTCATATCTTGGTTGCTTTCATTATTGTGTGTGTGTGCACACCTACCTCGCTCATTACATGTCTGGCTTACTTCATCTCACTATAAACGCTTAACGATGTGTTCATCGAACTGAGTTGACTCACATGCCTTTTGCGTTCCGCTTTTCTTGTATGATTTTCATTGTCATATATCTGCATGAACGATTGCCTGGAATAAAACTCATCCAACCGGAACCGTATTTGGCTTCTGATTATTGCCGTTGCACAGTGGTTCGCCTAAGTATAATATATACGAAAACAGACGAGGAGATTTATTTCATAGCATACTCGATCATTCATAATGTTTTGATAATTATCCTTTATTGAGAAATTATTAGTTATTTTTATTACGGGTTTTTGCTAAAAACATTGAAATTAAATTTAAAATCTAATATTGAGAAAGAAATATGTTATACTACAATCAAAAGAGAAATAGAATGATCAGAGATTCATGTACATTCTTTATTGTTTACAATTAACCAATCATTAGGTAGTAAGTAACCAATATCATATTTGTCAGGTCCTCCTTAGTGTTGATCAGATTCTATCGATCAAGTTGCAATGCGGTCACAAGTCTAGGTGAGTTGACATCGCATGATATGTAAAATGGTGGGTTCAAGGTAGTTGACAAGAAACCCTGTAA